GGAGGCAGCGGCCTTTTGAATCACTGACGGCTAGAGCGCCGAAAAGGAAGAGAGGCCGAGCCTGTAATGGTATTTAGGAACGTTTCATAGTCTTTTCATGTTATAACTGTACATTTTTCGCCTAATTTTAGGAAGGGGAAGAGGCTCCGGGGTGGGTGAGCCAATTGGACGTTCAACTTTTATCTCATCTCAGCTTTTTGCACGAGATAACCATTTCACCCACCCCGGAGTCCCACCCATTTTTAAAGTTCGGTTAAAAAAATATTCCTTTGGCTAAAAAGCATTTCTATGAAGAAGTGAATCCGGCTATTCCTCCTTCTCTGCGCTCTAGTCATCACTGATTCAAAAAGGCGCTGCCCCCTCCCTCCCACCTACACTTTTACCGTGAACAAGTTCCCAGCACTTGGGATAAAAACACATCCCATCACTTGATATGGGTTTAGCACCTTGTCGCGCTCTACATGGAACCAAGCAGTTCCATGCTTCAATAAAGAGGGGAAACATTCACTAGTTACGTGAACTTTGTGGCTGGTTGATTCCGTGTCGGAGTCAATCACACGTCTCCCAAGCGCGAACCCAATGTGCTGTAAAAGGCATATAAATCAATGGGTTGCGACCTAAATCCCGTATATTTCTGTGGAGTTCTAGTCTTTTCTATTTAGAAATATTCACTTCGATTCCAAAATCATGAGGGAAACAATGAAAAAAGTTGTAAATTGGTGATCTGCACTTTAGGTCAACTCAGCTCCCGTCATGATATACACCAAGGATGGTTGTAGTTTTTGCACAAGAGCCAAGAACCTGCTCAAGGAGGAAAAGATTGAGTAACTTTTCATTCGATTTTTCTTCACAGAAATACATCTTCAGCATCTTTAGCACCTCAGGCTAAGAGGGTAACTTGGAGTGTTGAATCAGCTTTTATTTAAATTATGGTAGTAAACATGTAACATTCTAGGTACACTGAATGTAATATAGATCGAATAAAGGAAACGAATCCGGATGAATATAAACCACGAGTCAACGGCCTCGTTTACATGACTAGGCAGACGACAATGCCTCAGGTGATTAGAGCAACAGTCTCTGGCACCTTCTAGGGAATACTCTCGTTGTATTTCATTTCTGCATGTTATTCGTTACCTCTACAGAAGAGCGCAGTGGGTGCTCTCAGACTTCAACGACCGACAGACCCACGGCGGCGCTGGCTACGTGTTGACTACGTGGGACACCGATCACGCGTCCTCACGAATCAAGAGGCCTTCAACACAATCTGTCCAGTGTTGTCAGCACGTGGCCAGCCAACGCCGCCGTCGGACGGTCGGTCGTTAAAGTTTGAAAGCAGCCAATGGTATGAGTGTAAGCTACATGCTCTAGGCCTTTTTTCGAATTCTTAGATTGATATTTTGTAGCAGTTTTCCATCGTGTTCACCAGTTTCGCGTTCAATGTATATGCCTAGATCTTCATATGTGGACGATTTGTGGGAGGGTGTACTGATTTGGAGAAACTGCGTGAGTCACGGAAGCTTTACGATGCACTCCTTGAATGTACAGGAGAGAACAGTGTGCGTGAGTAAGGTGAGGTTCAGGTAATTTGTTGAGAATGTTGATGTAGTATTTTATTTGCTGTTTCGATCAGAAACATTCAGCGAGACTCCTTTTTTTAGTGACAATATTTCATTGGGTTGGGTGACATTAATTGTTCAGACGTTTGATAGGTTTTCGTAAAGTTGTACTGGTTTCTGATTTTTTGTTCGTAATCAGTGATTGTTACTGATTATCAGGAAAGTTGCGACTGTGCAAAGGTGGTCACAATATAATCACATTTCTGAATGCTAGCTTCATAACACTAGTATATAGCCGATAAAAGAACTCGAAATCGGGAGCTAAAGAAAAGTTATACAATTGGTACCTCAGATTCAATCTGACATTCATAGTAGTGATAAATCTTCAATGTTCCCAAAGATCATCATCTATTCATCAGTATTGGTGTATGCAGTTTTTGCAGAAAATAATGGTTTTCTTAGGATTTTTTATTTTCAGGCGATTACGCCCAGTGATACTTCCGTAGCTGAGCAATCTGACTAGTCATTCGATGCCTCGCGCTAGACAAAACTCCTCATGGTACCTACTTTTATTGACAAGAGTTAAAACATTATCAATAGTAAGGCGGTCATTGCCCGTTACTTTTTCACAGTTACAGATATCCGCCATTCGTCGAGCTTTCAAGTTATTGGTGGTCAAATAATCTTTGTTGCCACTGTTAAAGAAATGAGAGTGGAGTGTTTTATATCATTTAAACACTAGAAGTTGTTGCATATTGTTGTATATTAGTTAGGTGCATAGTAAATTTTGTTATCCTCACATGTTGTTGTTGATATTATCAGTTTCGATCACTGTTGTCGGTAAAACCCAACTTTGGACATCACAGGAGCTTCCATACCATCGCATTTATCATTGTACAGTATCAGTCGAGAAATGTCGGGGTAAATGTTGCTAGTTGCTCTACTACTATGTTTTACTTGCTTTTTAATGGCTCATCATTTACATTGGTTCTCCACTATGGAGCAGAAGTTTTATCGCTTCTCCTACTTCCTGTCACCCAAACTGTGAGCTCTTCCATCCTCTTAGCGACGTTCCCGTCGCAACTCACAAAACATAATGGAGGATTGAACTTCCTCAGCTACAACAAAAAATGACAGTTCTAAGAACCTTTCATTCAAATCCAGTTCATCAGATGTAACCAATTGGTGTCGGAGTCCTTTTTCTGCAGACCGTATTTTTTCCGAATCCGATGCTTTCAAGTGCAGTGTGAAAAAAGGCTAATTTCTGCTGAAATACGACGCTGACACTTATACCCACAAACATGAGCAGTCAATGAGTAATGTGTAGCGAACTCTTTGGTTAAACATGGATGCAGATGGTGCTTTGGTCAGCCTTGCGCAGGTAAAAAATAGCGTGGTTGTTAAGGCTTTCAAGTTCCCCATTTTCGGCCTATCGTAATTCAACATAGCGATTGATTGGTTTGGTTCTTTCCAACAGACATCAGAGGGTAATATTCTGCTATGTTATAAAGTTTATAAATATTGCGCCCATTTCATTTTGTTTCATTTTTTGCCTGCTCATATAGAATTCCTTTTAGTCGTGTATCGATTTTATTTTTCGTGAACTAGGTCAACGTTGATGTTGATTACCTTTCTCCC